AAAGCTTTATTTCTTGGGGTTTTTTAAACAAATTGGGTGTAATTACTAATAAATTTTTAAAATAAGTTATTGGAATCAGGATGTCGGGTAGGATGAAGAAAATATAAAGTGCCAGCAGGGGAGATCCAAGGTTTGGCTCCCAGGCCAAAGCTCTGAGCTGTGCTCAGCAGCAGCCAGGGAAATTCAAGGTGAAGCCATTGAAATGATCCAGTGCTGCACTGCTGGCGGTTTAACAATGTTCTGTTGAAATCTTTCATTTAAAACGATATTCCATTTAAACCCATTTTAAACCATTCTGTTGGGATATTTCATTACAAACTGGCTGCTGGCAGGGTGACTTGGCAGGAGGTGCTGCTGATATTTGGGATTTTCCATGGGCCTGACATTCCTGGTGTGTCCCAAGAGCCCTGAGATCCTCCTGCATTCCCATTTCCCATCTCTGACTGCTTCAGCCCTCAGCTGCTTTTGGCTCCAAAAAACTTCCAGAAACTTCCAGGATGTGCAGATCAGCCCATGGACTCCACTCAGGATCCGGCCACGTGTTGCCAGTGTTGTCTCTCCCTCTTCTGGGATGGATAAATTGCAATTAAAGCAGATTATAGAATATAAATAATAAAATCCAGGTGTTTTCCTCTGGCACTTTGCAGCCAGCATTAGATGGAAACAGGGATTTGTTTGTGCCTTTGGTCTGGCACAGGGAAATGGGATAAAGCATCAGGATTTTATTGGAGCTGGGTTGAGAAATGTGAAGCTGCACTGATCTGCAAAATGATTGCAACAACTCCTTGGAAAAGTTTGGATCTTCTTGGAAGAGAGGGGTGTGAGCAGCACTTTTATGGATCCCTGCCCATGGGTGGATTTGCACAATTCCATCTCCTGGTTTCTTCTCTCCTGACTATTTTTTATTAATTTATTATTCTATTAATAGCCTTTTCTGACTAAATATTTTTTTATTGTTTTATTAATAGTCTTTTCTGACTATCTTTTTTGTCCCAGTACTTTTGAAAGACAAAGCAAGCACGTTTGAAATATTCCTTGGATTTCTTGCCAGAAAATGCCCAGAATTTCTCAGCTGAGAGCTCCATCCTGGGATGTTTGTGGATATCTCAGCCCTGACACTGGAGTGGGATCACAGCTGGAATATTGTCCCTCAGACAGGTGGAATGTTGTCACCAACCCCTCAATCCTCTCACCCCAGCAGGAACTGGGAAAAAAATGGGTGAAAAAAAAATTGCCTTATTTCCAACTGGGAAGTAAAAGAAATGGAAGATCCCAAAGCCACCACACTGGAATCAGCACAAACGTGCAAAATCCTGGTTTAAAGTGATTATTGCTGCCTTGGATGTGAGTTGTGCCCACTCTGGATTTTTGGGAAAAGGCCTGAAATGCCAGGAAAAGAAGGAATGGCTCCAAACCTCCAGGTTAGCTGGGATTTGGGAAATGGGAGCAGTCCTTGCTCACATGGCAGGGACAGCCCTGAAATTGCCTTTTCCCAAAGATATTGGGGTAAGAAATGATCCAGCAGTAAGATTGGATGGGAAATGAATCCTTCCATGGAAATGCTCCCCATCCTGGCAGGGCAAGGAGAGCAGCAGCTCCCTGAACATC